CTGTATTATTTGTGCCTCACAACAGAAATGGGGTTGTGTTTTCTGATACTAGTGCCAGCTGGTATATATCAAATTCACATTATTACACTCCGTCCTAAAATCAATGACAACCAGGGATCACTCTGCTGGAGCTGGTGCAGCAGTTCCAGTTCCAGGCAGCAATTCAGAGCTACAAGCACTGGAGTGACTCTGGTGTTTGAAGCAACAAAATGGCCTCAAAATTTTGGGCTCAGAAGCAAAAAAACCTGTGAGACCAGAGTGAGAAAAGAATCAGGGTTACTGACCAGTTTACTCAGGGGGCTGGGTAGAACAGTTAGTGCTGTTGCCTAGAGATAACATCACTCCTTGAAGGCATGCACAGAGGATTATTACTTCACACCTTTCCAGACTGCCTTAGAAGGTACTTTGTAAGGGCTCATCTGTACAGGATAGAATTTTTCTTTGCATCCAAGGCTGGTTTTCTCAATTAAGGTCCCTCAGTTTGCCTCATTTCATCAGGGTTCTTCTTCCTGCATATCATCCTGAACAACTATCCTGTGCAGCAGGCCAGTCGTGGCATTTGATGGTTTTGTTTGTGACTGCAGGGCCTTTTCAAACGTTTGTTTTCTTATAACAACTGGATTTTGCTTTGTCTGCCTTATTTCCATGACCCAAAATGAGGGCAAGCATCCTGCTGGGTGTCAGTGTTAAGATGTGCTCACTGCTGGTCATGTATTTATTTGCTTGTGGGAACCCCTCTCTCCCCATCTCTCTGCCATGGGCTTTTGGCATTTCTATTCTCATAATGTCACTTTTTTGTTGGGTGGTGGTCTGGGCAACCTCCTTTCTGAGCAGCTCAGGCTGCTGTTTCTTGACAATATTCAGTGCCCTGTTTCTGGTTCTTCCTTTACCATTAGCACATTTAAGGTATCATGACCTAAATATCTTGCTATCATAATGCCTGTTGATATCCAGGAAATATGTCGAAGGATGGTCCTCCTGAGGTGATCTGAACCTGACTGCACAGCCCTCACTGGAATGGCATCATAAACCTGACAAATTTGGTGTTGTTAACATGAAGGTTAGGCAACTGCTACAACATGCAACTTCATCTCTGCTAGTGCTTTATTCTCTATACAGTATTTAAACAGCTTCTTCATGTCAGAGCAGTTATGGCTGAGAGGACACGGTTTTCCTCCAGGACATCCTCACAGGTACAAGGAGCATCATCTCATGCTGGGGAAGCATGAGGGATCGCTTGAAAAGGAAAGAAAGACCTCTTGCCTTCAGTGCAAGGGGAAGAGACAACAGGCTGCTGCAGGTACACAGGAAGTGAATATTGAAGGTGCACTACAAGGGACTGCCTGACAGTCTCACCTGCCTTGGCCACAGCAACATCCTCTGGTCACCTGCTGTTGTTTTAATAGCCTCTTCCTCTGAGATTAATTAGGGGAGAAGTGCTAATGGAATGTGATGTCTCTTGGGCTCTTAAAATCTGATTTCCAAGTAAAATGAGTGACAGTACTAAGAGCTTTTTGTAGCAGGGAAGTTACAGCTGTGGCCTCAGTTAGCAGCAGGACAGGGCCACATCACCTGTGGGAAGTGTCGACAAGCAAAGGCAAATGCTACACTGCTCCACTGACCAGGACAAACCACCACCATGGCCACGGGCACGAGTCATCACCTCCATCTTAAGCAATCCCCTGAGGAAAGTTTGGGTAATTTCTTCCTGCTAACTTGTCCTCCTGTAATACATGTTGTTGCTAAACTTCCAGAAATTTTCAGGTTGATGTTGCACTTAAATAAGTAAAATACAGAGTAACTGTTAAGGAAGTCTAGAAGATAAGGGAGTAATTTATTTTTTCTGACTAGCTTATCATGACTGATGTGGCTGTGGGTGATAGTCACTTGGGTGCTCCACAAGTTAATTTTAGTGCTCCCTGGAAAGTGCATGTTGTCTCCGAAAAGTGGTATTGCATTGTATTCCCAAGGCATCTGTCTGTGTTAGCTTGTAGAGACAATGCTAAATTTAGATCTGAGGCTAAATAAATATCAGCGAAACCAAGATTAGCATTGCAAGATTCATACTTGAGAATATGCATTTTGTGTTTCTGTTCCTCTCAGAACATATATTTTGTGTTAATTTGTACTGCTTCTACATTACCACCAATTCATCTGCCTGTAGGACTTGTGCATCGTCTTTGAGCCCACTCCACAGTTCACACCACAACATTTTTGTGGAGGTAGTATTTTATGCAGAATAAAAGAAACTAGTTGTTTTCTTTCCTACTCAGTTCACAAGTTTGCTTTTATTCCCAAGACACTCCAATGAAGAAAACCCAACATTTTTACAGCCTGAGATATCAATCTGATTCTGCTCAGTTGTTTGAAAGCACTATATTATAACTGGCACACTCTAATATATTTGGAATAAAGGTTTGGCATGTGGTGTAAAGCAGACTCCCCCAAATGCATGAGTGCAAGCAGCAAACTGAAATTAATACCGTGAACATTCCTCAAGAAATTTCATCTCAGTTTGAATTTTTTTTCCAGTCTTTTCTACCTAATGAAGTGCTTGTTCATCACTAGTACAACCTGATGGGCACAGTGTGCATTATAATCTCACCATCTGCATCATTTACATTCCCAAATGTAGAATCTCAGCCAGATGTCTGACTTATCTCCAAGGCGCTGACTTTGGGCATATGGTTTTTATTTAAGAATCACAATACTAACAGAAATCCAGTATCTATTACCTATCACAATTGCAGATAATAACTCAGAATAAATTTATCCTGGGCTTTTTATTGTTGCCCACACAGACACTTTGTGGATGAATCTCCTAAAGTGCAACAATAAAAACAGAGTGAAAGGTAAGGCAGGATGTGAGGCAGAGTGCTTCATTACAGATGAGGTCTGTAGAATGTATAGCAAGCAGAAGAAAAATGTGCAGCCCTTAGTAACGTGGAAATCCTGAAACAATTAATGACTCTGAGAAACAATTCAATGCCATGGCATTAGGTAGCACAAATCCACAGTTCTGTTAAGTTTTTGTAGGATCCAGCAAAATCCACTGTGCTGGTGCTAAGCAGTAATGATTGTCCTAATGTGCAGGGGGCCCCATAACCTGAAAATAACATCACACTCTCCTGCTTGAGCATAGAGCTAAAAGGTTCTACTGAGAAGTCGTGTGGTGTTTTCTGGCACAAAACCTCCCACTTGAAATAAAAAGTATACCTTTATTTGGAAATGTGTCACATTACACATTTTGCTCTGACTTGGATTTCTGGACATTTACACACTCTTAAGTAGTACTGGTAGTGGTAATAATATGTTTTTACTTCCATAATGTTAACCACTAGAATATGAATGCTGCAAATAGAAACTAGGTTCAACATAAAGAAAACCAATAACTCCTTACTTAAATTTCTTCATCTTCCCACTTCAATAATTCTATGATTCTAATTCCCTAGACTTACTACCAAATGAACACTACCCTTTAGCTTTCACAAAAGAAGAGTATTGGTACTTACATTAGACTGACACCAAACTGTGCCTGTCATTGACCAGAATTTCAAGTCCTTATGCAAACTCTGACCAAAACTACAATCCTTGACTGAATATATTTTCAAGCCACAGCTATGACAGGGTGTTGAAGGCAGATATGCAAGGACCAGGACAGAGATCTCCACATTAGCACATTGTGAGTGCAGGAAAATCAATGCCATCACATTCCTTATTGTAGCCATACACAATCCTCATTATAACTGTACACAATTTTCAGTGAAGTAGCTGAATTACATCTCAGACATCTGTCTAAGTACAGGTGTCTCTGTCTTCAACTGGGGGGATGGATGCTTCTGGAGAGCAGCTCAGCCTAGCAATGGCATGGTAAAACTCTTAACTCCAGTGCCTTGAATGAGACATGCAAGTAGAGAAAACCTGGGCTTTAATGCCACAATTTTCAGCAGGGTTATCCAAGTTTTTTTAAACTCTTTCAGAGCCTCACTCCTATGGGATGTGGTCAAAGGCCATGAAATGGTGAAATTTGCACCAAAACCAAGAGGAGGAGGTTGCCTCCCTGCTCACTCTGCTGAGAGTCTCCAGCCACAGCCCTTCTGGGGTTGGGGGGCCCTGCGGAGGTACCTCCTCGAACCCAAACCCCCCCACACACAAATGCATCACCCTATGTGGAAGGCTGGGCGTGTGCCTGTGGTTTGACAGCCAAGCACTGTGAACCGAAAGCTCCTTGAGAGAGGGGTCAGCCTTGAGGGAGCTCTTAGGGGAACTCTGTTTGCAGAGCTGGAGACAAGGGCAGCCGCCCCCTCAGCTGCGCAGCTCCACTGACCCTCCCTGTGGATTCAGCTGTTTCGTAAGCCAGGGAGAGTGCAATGCTAAAACATCATTGCATTTGGACCTCTCAGGAAACCTTTCCAGAAATGGAACTAGAAAAACACCCCAGGACTACAATCATGTAATTAAATGCTGAATCACAACAGAGAACCACAGAAGTCCAGGGAAAATTATGCTGGCATGTGGTTAACGCTGGCTTTTCTTAATTTGTGAGTGCCAAAAGCCTTTGCGCGTTCACAAGGTCACTGTTGTGTGCAATGGCAACTTTATTTGATTATTGTTTCCAACACACCAAACTCCCTTCCAGTGCTCCTTGAAGCTATCAGGAATTATGCTTGACCCCCTGTACTTTTCCAGTTAATGTCCAACTTACTACTCCATCTGCCAGAATGTTTTAACAATGCAGCCCTAGAGAAAACAGGGTTCAGAGCACCACAGTGCGACACCATGGGCTGCCTCAGTGCCAACCCAGTGACCGTGCATCATCAAGGAATGATGGTGGATGTCTAATGGGGGACAAATGTAAAACACAGGCTGGGGTGAAAAATCACAGGAATGGGCACTCCAGTCTCTGTATCTGGATCTTTTCTAGCCCAGTGTACAGTGCATAAAACTGCATCAGGGGCCATAATTTAACCCCTTTGAGGAACCACTTGATGGTGTCCCACCACTGGGCATGGACCATGGTAGCCTGACGGTAGCCAGCTTTGAGTGTGCCGATGTGGGCCTGGCAGTGGGACAGCTGCCTGTATCCATCACTCTGCCCAGGCACTGCTTCGAGTTTATATTCCTCTGTCCTATGGCTTTGGAAATAAAACAGGGACAATTAGACTTTTATTGCCCACTGGGATGTCACCGCAATTGCAGTAAAGTAGCCACTTTGATCAGTTCTTGTCAGGGAATGATCTTTAGAGCAAATGTTGCCAGGGATTGAAAAAAATGGCTGATATTTTGCTAGAGGAGCAAGCTCAATGGCTTGCTCATCACCTGTTTTTAACTGTGCAATGCAAAACCAGCAGGGAGTCCAGCAGAAGCCTCCTGCCCTTGAACACATCTGCACAACTGTCTAGGTGCTACCTGATCCCACCACCACTGTCCTTTTCAGAAGGAAGGGCAGGACTGTTTTGCCCCTCCATGAGTAATAAAGCAGTTAAGAGAACATCTGAGATCTTATAAAAATGATGAATTAACTTTCCACAGATAGTCCAGTAAGTTTTATGCTGCTACCTACATAAACGTCAACTGCGGAGTTTCTCACTGGAATTTAGCTGTTGCATTTTGACAGCGATGGAAAAGAACAGCAAAATGGTAAAGTCTGCTCTTATTAGAGCTGGGCAGTAAATTACATGCTCTGCTCCATCCACAAAGAAATGTTTATCAACTGCTGCCAAAAACCACAGCACCCTGGTGTTTCCTCAGGCTTGCCTTCCATTTCTACAGCCACTGAGGAGGCTACTACCCTTGGGAAGTCTCATTTAGGATAAACAGTTCTTTATGTTCATTATCGTGATTCCCAGAGAAAGGGCTGGAGGAGCTAATTAGAAACTAAGCATGACCGATCAGGCAGCCTGGAAGTGCCAAGTTGGATCTGCAAGTGCATCTTCCAGGCTGAAGAGCTACAGAAAACCTCATGACTCTTCCTCTGGCCCCAAGGACACTCAGACTTCGAGCTGGGAATTTCTTCTTTTTTGTTGGAGTGACAAACAGTTCACTGGAGGGCAGGGGGGAAACCAAACTACAGTGCTGCTTCAGGAAGTGACTGATTTTAAGAAAAGGCTGAGCAGAGCAAGTGACCTCAGCTGCTCCTCATATGTCTTCCCCTCCAGGCCCTTCACCATCTTTGTTGCCCTCCTTGGGATGCAACTGCATTGCTTGGGGTTTTTTTTGCAGTTCAACCTTTGAACCTCAGTTTGTCCTCGCTTTGGTCTCACCCCCGTGAGGATGGCAGGCCCTGCTGGGCTCAGTGAGCTGGGATTCCAGGCAGGAGCACCCACCGATGCTCACAGCCTCCTCATCTGCATCCAAGAGCTCCAGAGAAAGATGGCAGCTTGGCTTTGGCTCAGCTGCTGGGGCTGGGGGCTCACACCCACTTTTGCCTGGCTCATTCCTCTCATCCCAGTACACCGGGGACTCTGGACTCAGCAGCTGTAGTTCATCATTCAACCAGTGAGGGGAAAACAGGATTTATAAGCAGCCCTCCTCAGAGTCTATTTTAAATTCAAGCAAGATGAAGCATTTTGCCAGTTAGGGAGTTAGCCAGAGGCTCTGAGAGTGGCATAGATTTTTGGTTCAGCTTATTGCCTTCACCACAGATTTAGCTCAACTCCTAGTAATAGGGGTTAATCTCCCCTAGTCAATATGGCTTATTAAGACATCACAGTAATCCCTCTATGGGTTCAAAATCGACAAGTTGAAAATATAGTAACATGCTCAATGCCATGGCAGGTTAAAAGAAATTATATTTGTGTTGTGGCCTTTCTGTAAACTGAAGGCTGGATTTTGTTCTGCTGGTTGTACTATCTAGAAGAGCTGTTTGCTAAGATACAACTTGATTGCTGTCTGATGTGTTCTAACAGGCACAGAGATTGTCTCACTTTCAAAATGTCTAAGATTTCAAAGACCTACAAAGACAGTCTTCCAATTCCCAGTGGCCTGCAGGAAATGCTTGTAACCCATGAGTTTGACTCATTTTTATCAAATCTTGTTCAAGTTATTTTTTCCATTACCAATTTCTCCCCCCCAGAAATCATTATTTACTTATACATTCTTTGCTACTTAGAAACACAGGAGGAGAGAACAAATGCATCAGCCAGTAATGCACTGAGGATCACTTCTGGAAATGCTAATGGCTTCTCACTCAGCAAACAGATTTTGATGTAGGCATGTCTAGTTCAGAGAAGGAAGCCGAGAGAATGGCACCATTTCACACGAAAGCACATAGAGATGGCCAAAACCCTTATACAGCACAATAGGATCATCAGTGTGGTTAAAAACAAAACCATCACTGTGGTGCTGGACTGCATTACACATGGTGCCCCAGAGATCTGCCTGTCCTGGATTCGGCAGGGCGTACAAATAGTTGGGCTGTTTAAATAGATGAGGAATCACGGCCAGAATTCCACCACATCTTCAGAGCCCGGGTTAGCCAGTGTGCTTTGGATGTGGAGGGAGAGCTTTGCAACTACACCAAGATGAGTACAGGCTGGATGGCCCCATCTGCCTTCCCCGCCTCAGCCTGCCTGGATTTTCCCCTGCGGCCAGCAGGCAGAAAGGAAAGTAAGGAAATAAGGTCTGACTTGGGGGAAATAATATTAAAAAAAAAAAGACAACATTTAAGTTTCCTATTGCACTGAAAGACAGAGAACACATGCAGGAGGAGCTGAAAAGGCAGGTTTTGATCTGCAGGGGAACTCAGCATCCTCCTGCTGCATGACTGCACAAGGGCCCTGAAAGGCAATAACCTACTTTCTTTGCTTCAGCATTTCCAAAGTACCCAGGAATGTGCGGCAATTTCTTACAAAAGCAGGAGAGCAATGAGGCAGTCCTGTGGCTCGGGTGACACCACAGAGCTGCTCCCTTTCTGCAGTGACCCATCTCCCCTGCCACCAAGGTGTTTGGAGCCAGCAGTTCTACTCCCAGCCGACAAGAAGGGCCATTGTACAAAGATACCCAAGGAGATGGGATGAACCTGGGTACCCCTTCCTCACCCCCTGGCTGCTGCATGTCCTGCACACATCATCACATGTTCAAAAGCATGGAACAGTACTGCAAAGGAAGCTTGTAAATAAGGCAAGATCTTCTCAGTGGGGGAAAAAGAAAAAAGGACACTGAAAGAGGGGTGGGACAACAGGCTGAAACCCTGGCATGGTGGGGAGAAGGCAGATAAGGAGCACTGCTGTGCTGCGTCTTGCTTCATAAAATCCAGAGAGAACCAAAGGAAATGATGAAGCAGCAGAATAAAATAAGCCAGATAACAAGTACTTTTTCATGTAACACTAAACTGCAATATTTGGGGTGAGTTGGAGACTAGAGGATTAGGGATGTTCACACAGGACTCAGACATATTCACGAGGATGAGCTCTAGGTGAGCACCACAGGTAGAATTCTACCTGTCCCCTTGGCACAGACAGGCATAGAGATCCTGCCAGCTGCAGAGGGTTGGTAGGCATGGCAGCAGTCCTGCCCAGAACTGCTTTCATGCTGCCACCTGCCAGCATTTTATCTAAGCTCATACAAAATCACCCATCACCAGACCATCTCAGCCTCTTTGCAACTGCTGTCAGCAGAACGCTGGTTAATCATGGCTGCACAGTCTGCTTTTTATAGAGTCATGGAATCATTTAGGTTGGAAAACACCTCCAAGATCATTGAGTCTAACTGTTAACCCAGCACTGCCAAACCCACCACTAAACTATGTCCCTGAGTGCCACATCCACAAGTTTTTTAAACACATCCAGGGATGGTGACCCCACCGCTTCTCTGGGCATCTTATTTAGTGTTTGACAACCCTTTGCATGAAAAAAAAATTCCATAATATCCAACCTAATCCTCCCCTGATGCAACTCGAGGCCATTTCCTCTGGTCCTAATCTTTGAAGCTCTTGCTGCAAACAGGAATGCCGAGGAAGAGCAGCTTACGGTCAGCCTACTCAGCTACCTGGGCCGGTTTGAAAGCAAGATAAAGCAGCCCCCTGAGTGTTATGACAAGAAGCTTTGCAGCAAAAATGAAGCAGAGAGGCTCTGTTTACAAGAACCACTTGTAAATGGAAACCAAGACCCAAATCTGAAAGGAAAACCACATGGCCATAATCTCTCTCCCATGAAAGGAGCAGTAATTACCAAGTCACCCAGCAAGCTAAATGGTCTTCTCTAACCAAACGAGGATTACAACTGCATTCCTGGATCATACCTAACCTGGAGAGGGCTCTGAAGTGTGTGGGGGGGAGAGGCCTCCCCCATAGCTGAGTTACATGTCCCTGGCACAGCTAGACAAAAGGTTACAGATCAGCTCAGTTAAATTTACAGAACAACCCGAATGATTTTCCTGGAATGAAACCTTGACGTGAGTGTTTCCAGAGGGGGATGGAAACCAGCCTGCATCCACTGCTTCACTGTCAAGAGGAAATGTGTGAAGTATACAATGGGATTGATCGTATTTCATAATGCAACTTATAGGTGCAAAGTAAGTGTGGATTTAGGAGGCTGTTGCAGTATTTACTCTACCAGCAGATGTTCCATGCAAAGACTGGACTTTGGTTTGTACTTCACCCCAGTGGAACGACGGGCTAGGTTTGGATTTGTTCTGAACGACTGTGCAAGATGGGGCCCACAGTGGGTCAGTATTTGCCTACACAAGTGCACTTGGACAGATATAGATGCATAAACCAGCACTTCTACAAGCAACAAGCCTTTACACCAGGGCTCTTAATGCCTTAAAGTGACAGCAAGGAGATTCCACCCAGGGGCTTCCAAACCTCCATTCTGGCCATCGCAATGTGAAACAGCTCCAGGGCTGAGCTCCTCCAAAACCTCATCTTGCCTCTGACATGGCACCCGTAGAAATGTAGGGCTGCCAGAAAGTCTAAACACCAGCCAGGGGTGGCAATGGAGCTGAAAAAAATTATGGAGTTCTGCCTTTGCTAGCACTGAGTAATGCCAAGAGGGAATAAGAGAGAGCCTCTAAAGACAAAAACCAAGGTCTTGGTTAGAAGGCCGTTATCATCAGCTCTGAAAAGGAGTGCACTGACACAGGACATTCAGTCAGAGGCATAGATAAATGTATAAGAAAACAATCAAGCTCTTGTTCTCCTTGGGAAACCCAGGAGACAGTCATTCTTGTACTCATACAGTTAAGTGTCCTATTGCACAGCCTTGCAACATGATTCTCACGGGTTTTCATGCAGTGGGCATGATGAAAGGGCTCACTGCAAAGCCATCACATCAGCAGGGACCTTCCCTACTCCAGATCAACGCACACAAAAAAAAGTAGGCGCTTGCATGAAGTCTCTGCCCTCAAACACAGCCATAGCCTCCTGACACCCACAGTCACTGGTCTCAGTACACAGGGAAACAAAACAGCCCAGCAAGTCAGCAACCACACACTGCTGAGCACTGTGGTGGAGACAGAGGCAGTGGTGCCTGCAATTTACAGCATTCTCTCTGACCAGCATTTTGTGTGGCAAATGCTCACATTAAAGTGCCTGAAAAACCACTGCAATCAGTGCTTGCCCAATGCCAGATTCTAGTCAGCTCAGATCCCCAAGCTACTGCTGGTTTTCCCAAATAATTTGCAACTTTCAGCTTTCACTTGAGAACTCAACACGTTGCAAATTCCAAGAAAACTGCTGAAATTTTTAGCAACATCATGCTCAGAAACCAAAATCAAGACAAGATCCTTAAAGCATCACCAAAATCAAATAATTTAAGGAATTAATGGCTGTACTGACACCCTGTTCTAGCTGAGCACTGGTTATGCCCCAACGTATTTCTGCCAACTGAACAGAGGTACATGTCAGTCTTTCCCTACATCACAAGTATAACAGTCATTTTTCAAGAGCTGAAATTTCACCAGTGGCTGCTGGTCGCTGCACTAACCATCATGACAGGCTGGCTTGTTGCAAAAGGGAGTTGTTTTCTTTGTCAATTATGCCATTATTTCCAATAACATGCTTTAAATGACAGGATATAAATCTTGGCAGGCCTCTCCTAAGCACATTCTGCCCCACATAAATATCAGCAGTGAAAAGCCATTTAACAAAAGCATTAGACCCAAAAGACGAGCAAGGCTGGATCGTGGGAGAACGCGGTTGAGAAGCACAGCTCCACGATAGCACGGCAGCCAAAGAAAACAGGGCTGCTCTGAGCCTGTCCCTCGTGCGGATGAAAAAACAGACAGAAAATGTTAACCCCACAGGTAGCAGCCGTGCCACGACTAGCACGTTTCTAGTTCCAGGTGGTGCTTATTATTTCTCTTCTTTTCAAGGGGTTACAGCATCTTCAGATGTCCCAGCAGCTCGCAGGAGACACGGTGACACGTGCGACGCAATGTAGGCTGGAAGTGCCGCGCAGGACAGGGGCGGGAGCACCGCCGCATTTTTCTCAAAATTGAAAATGTTTTGCAGGGTTGTTCCACCCGCCCTGCAAGATGAAAGTAAAGCTCGGACAGGATCGGGACAAACAAGACAGGACTGATTCGAAGGAGGAAAGAGGGAGGTAGGAGTGTCGTCAGTCATTGCTTGGGTGCTCAGGCTGCCTCACTGCTGCACCTTTGTGACAATAACAGCATCAGAAAGGAGAATGCACAAGAAATAACCCTGTCCAGACGAGAAGGACCCCAGGAACCATCAAAAAATGCATTCACTGAGCTTGAGCTATTAGTTCACTTCAGTTATATGATCTGCGTGGTACTCACAGACTTCTCTGTAGCATTTGATTGGAGATCTGTAGGTTTGCTTTTTTGGAAGAGACATTTCACCTTTTGCAATAAATTCTTGACTGATGCAAGCACAAAGAGATGCAAAGGAAACACTGGAAGTGATCTTGCCGAGGGGCTAAGAAAACACTTCAAACCCACATGTCAGCTAAGGACAGATTCATGTGCAGCACGTGCTTATCTGTGCTACAGCATTTTCTGAAAGTATTACTGCTAGGGGAGATAAGGAAAATTTACTAGCTTGCATACATTTCCAAAAATCATTTTATAGGATTCAGGTTGGAGATCAGCAACTGAAGCCAAGAGGAAAGATTACGGGGTTAAAAACCCTATATTGAGCCCAAAAGTCAAAACACAACTACTCAGTCAGAATCAGGTTTGAAAAGATGAATGCATGAAGAGCTGTTTTGGACAGGAATTTCATTTTATATAGCAAATTCTATGTAGTGAGCTAGGACACACTCTTCTAGATACACAAAGAAATAAAGAGTTTCTATGAAGTTTTTGGACAATTTCCTCCTTTGGAGATTAAGAAAAAAAACATCACCAGTTACTGTGCAGCAATTTGTGCTCACAAGAGGCTGTTTATTTCAGAGTTTTTGCACCATTCTGTGTTTGTTTGAAGCCTGGTTCACACTGACTCTGAATCTAGCTGTGAGTGCTCCCTACTATTAGAAATGTAAACAGAAGTCCCAAGCCAGGCAACACCTGAGAAAAGGGCTTAAAATATTTTCCGTATGAGAAGGGGCTGGAAAGTGAGCTCTAGCCCTCCCCAAACTTCCCCTTCTGCAGCCCTTGCTTCATTTTTACATGTTGTCCTCCAGTGTTGCCAAAAGCAAAGACTCATATAGAAAAAACCCTCTTGATCTTCTCAAGAGGAGGGAAGGGGAGGGGAGGGATGCAGATAAAACAGGATTTCACCTTTCATCTTACCTTCTCCCCAGGACAGACGCCCCTTCTTGGGATGCTGACTGGATGCAGAGATGTCCTGGCACAGCCTCATCCACCCACCACTTCCACAAAAGACTTTCCTGTGCAACCATCACATGTGGAGTCTGCAGCACTGGGTACATCCTGGTACCTTGCAGAGGACATGGGGGTGCCTTTTTTCCCTCTCTTCCTCACTTGCATGTAGAGGATTGACAGGCATTGCTCCCCATTCCTTTCCTTCCTGTCGTTGGACGTAGGGGAAGCATTAACCACAGGACAGGAACTTCTCACATGGGTGAAGTGTACTGCAAGTTAACAGCTACCCATGTTTTTCTTTTCACTCTAAAACTCAATAAAACAACCACTACTGCAAAATGAATTTAAATAAGGTCCTGTAGTTGACTCTGTGCTGAAATATTATTTAATTTCATACTTCTGAAATCTTTGGCAAAGCCAGAAAGCCAACAATACTATTAAGTTTCTCCTTAGTTTTCTTTTTAAACACATCACTGCAATGCTAAGCAACTCCAGAGATTCTAATGAACTCTGTTTTAAATGCAAAACATGTTTTTCTGCACTTAAAAATCAATCAAACGGCCAGAGATTGCTAAAATAGCTAGCATGAATTCCCTGCCATTTTCTACATGCAAAGGTCAAGCCTGGGAGATGAGCAGGCACTCTGACTTTGCAGACGGGCTCCATCTGTTACACATAAAATTTGGGTTTGGCAGTGAAAACACTAGAGGGGGGAAACCCAAGACTTATTGTCTGTGTTTACTAACTTCAGGGCCTGATCTTGCAGGGACCTGAGTGTCTCAAGCCCCTATGAGCTGGACGGGACACACTGGTGCTCACCACCTTTGGTGACCCACAGAGAGCTCATCCTCTGCTTGTTTTTATTAAATCACAGAAACCTGCATCTTCTTTGACGCCTTTACCTTGGCTTTCCCTGTGCCTGTCCCACTGGCTGGGATGTCCATCACTGCTCTGGTGTGGGAGACGTCTCCACCTGCGGGACCACTCGTGTGGTTCTCCTCTGCACCCACAAATGTGCAACAGGGGTAGTGAAGGGCTGTGATTTTTTGAACCTCAGGCTGGCTGGTGCTGCTGGCTGCAGCTGTACCCTGTCTGCAGACAGTGATAAAGAGGGAGTCATGTTTTTAATACCAGAATGTGAGAAGACCTTGTATCAGCAAGGACATGAGAGAGCGAACTGCACAAGAACTCCCTCCCCGGCATTCCTCCCCGGTGATGATTAGTGAGCGCAGACTGCTGCCCGCACGGCCATAACTGAGGATGACATGACAGCCAGGCCTTGTGTTTGTGCAGGAATGGAGGCAGCCCAAAGCTGCTTTAATGGAAGGGGAATCGTGGGCAGGCAGGAAGGCAGGGGCACTTGCCTGCCCTTCGGATACTCAGCGTTCCGGCACTGCCAGGTTGCCCACTTCAGCTTGGTTCAGATCACTCCCATTGAAGCGTAAGATGAAAGCTATCTTTTCTTTGTTTTTTTTCCCCTTCATTTCAACCTTTCTTTCTGTACCAAAGGGTTAGGTGTCCCTCTATCACTAGAAGTGTCCTTCTCTTCTTGTCCTTTATCAGTGAAAGCTTAAATACTGATATACCAGCCTGGCAGCCGAGGGAATGCAATGGACAAAAACACACCTTACACTGACCTGGCAGGGCTGGAAAGCCACTGCCCATGTGGGAGAAATCTGTGATTGGGACATTCGTCCGAGGTGAGTCACAGTATGGACCAGGAGTGCCAGCCCGGGTTACTAGCTAAGCAACAACGAAAAACAACCCAATAAAGAGAACAATGTTATTGCATCTTGGAATTATGCTTGTGGTAAGATGAAAACCTTTACAAGAAACACAAAAGTCTGCTGGAGGAGAGCAGAGGGCAGGAGGAGGAGGAAGGCTATTAAAATGGAAGTCAGAGCTAAGCTTCTTGTCAGGCTGAATTCTTTGCTGTGAATAATAAGCTTTTACCACAAAGGGAAAAGAAAGTTTGTTCACTAGCTGGGGTTTTTCCAGAACCCACACAACATCTAAAATGCTACAGGCTTTCTTATCTCAATGAAAAATAATTACTCTAAAGAATATTCTTCAATGAACCCTTAGGGGACAAATTATGATACTTCACTGGAAACACTCTGTTCTTTTCCCCTAGCAAAAAAATGTTCTTGTGCTTGTTTCCAGGAGGTAGGCAGGCGAGCACCATAGCCAGCAGTAAGGGTCTTTGGTAATCCATTTAATATCACAAGTTCCATGGCTGCTTTATTGCACCGTTCATGATGGAGATACTTCAATTTTGTAAAATTCAGCAATGTCAATCAGAAGTCCCATACAGCAGCATCCCTGTGGGAATCCCCAGCAAAGGTACTTTACTGTCCGGGGTCAAGCACTACAGGCACTTAAGAGACGTGCATTTGTCTGCATTTGTCAGTATAAATCTTCCTATAAGCACTGAGGAAAATCTGGCCAGCAAACTCGGTTTTAAGTATCCAGGAAATACAGCCTGTACACAACAAAATAACTATTTTAAACAGGATGCAGTAAGCTTTTCATGTAGGATATTTATGTTGCTGCGATGTTTTATAAATAACAGAGGAAAAATAGTAAATAAAAGAAGATTGGACTTCTGGTGATCACATAGACTGTTTCAATCATGTTGGAGGTTGCCAAAAGTGCTATTTTCTTGTCCCACTGTAGCTACCAGACATCCAGAGTTTCATATGCACCTCAAAGACTAAGAAGTGTGAAATACACCAATGATGCCATGGACAATTTTTGTTGTTAAAGACTGTAAGGTGCATTTTTAATATACCTCCCTATCTCATCTGAAGAATTCTTGACACAGGTGTCGGAAACACAACTGCTTCCAAACATGTATTACCACTAAAAAAGAGGGAACCCCCCCTCCTCCCACACTTCACACACTGTGGAAGTTCACAACCCAGCAGGATGTTCAAGGACTTATTAATGCCTCATTAGCTATGAAATAATTAAAACAGGTATCCTTTGCATAATTAAATTATTACCGGTGGCATTACAGCAGGGGAGGGCTTACTCGTAATACCTTACCAGATTTTTTATTGAAAAGCATTGTCTAGAAAAGTGCTGGAATCAGTTCACATGGAGGGAAGAATCCAAACCAGAGTATTTTTAAAGAGCAGCATTCCAGGCTGGACATTTTAAAATAGCTACAATAGGAGTTATTTTATTTACTTTTCTTTTCTGTATGAAGAACAATGGTGTGTTCCAGGATCCCAGGAAAATTATTAATAGCACTTTGTTGATGCTGAGATCGTGGCATATGCTGTGTGGGGCAAGCAGGGTGCATTCACAGGCTCCTGCCTCGACAGCTTTGCAGTGGTTCAGTGCAACTTGGTTTATTCCAAACTATACCCTGCCCTACTATCTCCCTCACCACTGAGTTATCTCTTACTTGATCCCAACACAGTTATTCCCCACATAATGAATGGTGCATACACACTCATGTCATGAAAGGGCTCACAGACAATAACTTAAAGGATGGAGTTGCTTGAACTACTCACTGTAATTGTGCTTCCAAAAGAAGTGGGACTTTATTCTGTGCAATAACATGAAGCAAATTAATTCAGCTCTACTAATTTTCAAACTAATCTCATCCCAGTGTCATAGAAATAAATCTATATATGTGTACATCCACTCATATTGTTAAATGATTAACTGTGAACAATTTATCAGATGAATTTTGCTTTTTCAGCACCTCATGTAAACAACAGGATTTGAAAATTAAATCCCATTTTTTTAACTGTTTCTCAGGAGCTCCCTGCTAAGTGGCTTGTCTCTGACTTGAACAGGCCAGGTCAAAAAGCCCAGGCAGACTCATTTGGTAAGGAAAAATGCGGATTAACCATAATTCAAGTGTTTTCTATGACTGTGACAATTTTGATGACATGGTCAATAGAAAAAAATCCCAGATAATTTGAAGAGCATTTCAAGTTTTCTTTCACAGAAACGTTTCAGGCAATAAAATATTTTAAAATTCTTATTTTAGCCCTTAAATCACCAGACAGTATGCCCCAAGTATTCTTATTTCCTGCTTTTTGACACATTTGTTTGTGAACTCTTTGATATAATTAGCCTCTGCTCCCGACTTGTGGTGCAGAACCAGCCCCAAACCCCTTGGGTTTGCTCCCAGCAGGATGAGTGACAAGTCTTGTTCTCCAAAGGCCTGAGAACATACAACTGCAGCTGAGCTCGTGGTGCTGCCCAATAACTCAGGTAACTTTGGTGGCAGTGGCTAGGAGATTAATTTATGCTTGAATGTCAGATCTTTACATATGAAAATGGGTATCTCTCATTTCAGTTGCAAGAAATTGAGTAGGTCCAACATGTACTTTCTACAAACAATCCACTTATCTCTGTAACCCTGCTACTCACAGTGCCTGTAATTTACCTGTGAGCCCACCCACTGATTTCAGCAGAGAAACCACCTGTGCATTCTCCAGTACTGATCTAGGCAGTTTGTTTGCTGTGATTTACTTTTACATACACTGCAAATAACAGTGTCCATGGGTTTCCATGGGCAATTTCTGACCTAGAGATGCTTCATTTACACACCGCACACCCATTTTTCTCCATGCTCGTACTCCTGGTTTGACTTTCAAACGTGGCAGAACAGCGAGAGTGAATCCCCCCAAAATGCTGCCCATTAGGGACATCAATTAGACAAACTGATGACACTGAAATCATGGTTCCAGCTTTCAGTTTAGCTTATGAAAGGACAATTTAATTTTGTAAGTTCATGTGGCAGCAGTCCAGGCCACCCCTGCTTCTGGACATATGCAAATATGGACAGATATCACGTGCGCAGTTTCCGATCTGAAGTTAAGCAGTTTTGTGAACATTTGCATTAAAAAAGCATTAAACAACTCAGTGCCACCAGCTGCTGGTGCAGTCTTGAGGCACCCCATAATCCCCGTGCAGCTCACCATGCCCAGCTCCAAGGATGCTGCGGGGCAGCATCACACATCTCCAAACAGAGGGTAGTGACTCACAGTGCAGATAAACCAACAAATCCCTGGGTAAACAGGCTCAGAAACAGAATGTTAGAAAGGGAGCTCTGTAGTTTAATAGTGAATAAGACATCAGGCAA